TGTTGCAAGTGCTTGTTGTATAAGTCGAATGCGCTTACTGCTTGTGGCCATAGTATCTTTAAATGTTGTCTATTTTTAAGAACAAGATAGTAAGAAACGTTATTAGAGTCAAGCTATACTCAAATGATATAATCATTGGGAAAAAAACATACCTGCGATAATCCTCTATCCGTGAACAATTTTTCATTACATACCAGTGTACTATTCTTTTCTCATCCTCTTATAGTCTCCACAAGGTTGGGGACCCAATGGTCGTGCGTTTTGTCTAAATATTTCAAACTCCCCATAATTTTTATTCCCAGTGTTTGTATCATCATTACGTTCATCCCTATTATGTATAGTTTCAATTCTTATTAGAAACATTGAGTAGAAAGTGTTCATTATGAAGGCTTCTACTGTTGAACACTCTAGACGAGATTTGTTTTTAACGTATTGTTTCAAAGTCCACAAAGATCTCTCAATAGGATACATCCAATTGTAACTAACGGGACCCACTACTTTCGCTTTGTGAGGCAAATAAACAGCAAGACGTACTATTACATCAAAAAATACTGGTGGGAATATTTTCTCCAACTTACAAAGAATGAGTACAACATCAACTTCCAAACGCTCTAAATCACTGATGCATATTGTCTTCGCGCACAAGTCATAGAAGACTTACATAGTTCCACAATATATGTACTCACTTCTTTCGATACATATGCTCAAATATCGATAAAATGATTCTTTATAATATAATATGACAATCGTGAGTTTTCAAACTCCATATTTTTCTCTCTTCAACGCTAACACATCAAGATTAATTGGAAACAAATCCATCAGGAAATTTCAATGACTTAAAAAACTTACAAAATTCTATTTTATTTCTTCGTGTAAGGGTATATGCAGCTTGAGGTTTCAAAAACTTATCCCCCTATTTTTGTAAGTGTAACTCTTTGAGTATTTATAAATCTTGTAGATCCAAATGGGCGTTTGAGATATTTAGATTTTTCTTTAATGCTTAACAAAGTGCCGACTAAACTATCACACACATTTTTTTTCGATGTGTATCACATCTAGTTTATGTCTTAGCAATAGCTTAGACCAATATGGAAGATAAAAAAAATAAACTCTTTTTCGTCCAATTGAGGTCTCACTTTCGCTTTTTTTTTTATAGATTTGATGCGTGCTTCCCAAAATGTGGAAATTTTAAATAGGTTACCTCGTGAAGAATATCATATCCATCTATTAAAGTCGGAGGAGGCCTACATTCAACCTTCCCATCATGATGTTTACTTTTACGCCAGCTCGACATTTTTGGAAGATAACAGCGATGTCCCATGAAGGATATTTTACCACGTATTCTGAACGACAATGTCTGTTCCTTACAGCACACTTGATAACCTTTGGTACTCCATCTATATAAATCGTCATATGCAAGAAAGTCGTTGATGGCCCATAACAAAGCTGCATGCATTTTAAAATATTCCCCACTAAAACTATCATAGGTGCGTACACCACTAGTCCACAACTCATTCAGCTCTGCAATCAATGATTGCAAATATACGTTAATCTCTTTTCCAGGAGACTTCGGTCCGGGTATAAGCAATGACATGAAAAAAAAGATTTTATACATTTCCAAGGTGGTAATATATAGAATTAGTATAATCAGGCACATACTATATGAATGGTTTATGCTACTGGATGGATTGAATCCATCTGAAGCTAATGTCAATCAGACATTTCGTGGAACTAATGCAAATTGAGGGTATTCATGATCCAAATGCTTCCACCCGGTGACATCAGCTTGATGTCGTAGCATACCCTTCGTTTCAACACCTCATTTTAGCTGCGAAATTTTTTTGATGCGTACAACCGCTTCAACCTCAGTATCAATGGAAAATGTCGTAATACCTTATAGGGGATCTTTTTTAATATTACTACCAGAACAACCTTTGTACTAAAACTCACCACATACTAGACACGTTTCCAGGTTGGCAAATTCTTTCCAAAACTGCACACAATCGTACTTGCAAGCATGGATGAAATTGTATCCTAATCCTAATCCACGCAGTTTCCTCTTCGCTTCATAGAATGAACTAGGTATGTTCGCCCCAGTTAGAAATGCTACCTTCAATAATTGGAGTAACATATCTAATGATTTATCACTCCACTTATTAAGCACTTTGATATGCATCAACTTGATTAAAAATTCCAACGAGGTAACTTGTGTACAACTAGGGTACAATTTTTGACTTGATTCATTCATCAAGTCCTCAAACTTATTTGAATTGTCCCTTTCAAAACCTTGTGCCGACATCTCATACGGAAAGTCTTCTACGTCTTAATCCTCTTCTACCATTGGACCTCTCAGCTCGTTCAGCATATCGAGCACCTCATTATCTTATCTGGTAACGTTACACTCTCTATTTAACTCATAATGGGCTGATGGTGTGCCTCTTACATATCGATCTAAGTTCGAAGGATCTCCGTGATGTACCCATTGACTTAAAGTAGGAGATATTTCATTAATGAATAAGTGTTGTTCCACTACATCCAATAGTTGCTATAATACATTTTGACATTTTTTGCACGGACATCTCATTTTTCTGAACTCGTTAACATGAAATTTGGCAACTTCTATAAATTGTAAAACCTATTCTACATACTCTCTTGAAAACCTATCTCTTAGCTTAATCCAATCTCTATTCATTTTTCAATCCTATTGGACAACACACACACTACGAAATCATAGAGTGCAAGAACTTGGGATGTGGGTATTTAATTTGTAAATATTAGTACGTAGTATATATTTATTTTGACAACTTGGTGTGCTATTAGATTAGCAAGAGTCTTCACACTAGAAGAAAAGAATTTTTGGACTTTCTTTTCATTGTTCTATTTTAAATTCTGTACTTTGTAATATTTAGCTTCGTAAGGACTTATACAATAAACCAAAATTTAGCATAAAACCAAAAATAGCTTTGTAGAGTGTTCACACCAAACAATCACAAGCTTTATAAAAAACATAACACAAAAACAAAAATAGTTGTTGGTTTCTCGTGGGATTGGATACTAACCTTTGTAGTGTTGCAGCGAAATCCACAAAAACTAAGTAGCGATTAGAGATCAATCACGAACGAAAAAATCTCAGGTTTCATGGCCCGAATTCTTCCACTAGTGAAGGATTTGAGACAGCCTTAATTATCAATTATCCCACACTCACATGGATACAGTGGGAGAGATGAGATTTTAGGGGGAGGAACAGTTACATAACTGCTTCCCATTTCAAATTCAAATTCAAATTCGAATTCAAACTTGAATTTGATTTGTATTTTAATAAATGCTACGTCTCTCACTCGCACATAATGTACTTTCACTATAGGCGGATTATTAAAATTGTTTTAAAGGTTTTTTTTATATTTAAAGCATGCATGTAGTAACTTCCCTAAGAAGTTTGAGTCAAAAAGGTCGAGTCGTTTCATTTTTGGACCTTTGAAATAAAGCAGTGACATTTGTGTTTGTTGTAAGTAGCTTATTAGATATAGCTTTTTAAAAACATAGGTTTACAAGGTTTTTAGCAATGGAAGGGAAGATATAACAGTAGAACAATGTCAGAAAACAAAATTACCCATTGTCAAACAAGGCATCTTATGCAAATGAGGCTCCATCATAATACCTGAGTTTATTGGTTCCAATGGTAAAAATATGGTCTACCCATAGAGATCACAAAATTCAATGTCTATGGTCCTCCACTAAAATAAATATTTTTAAAGTTAAAATGACAAAAATAGAATAAACATCAAGGTTTTAGAGAAAAATATGACGTTATAATAAATAGAAACACCCACCTGAAGTTCAATAAAAAAATGAAGTCCCATATACATAATCACCTCCTCAACAGAAAATAGAGTCAAGCCATACATTTACATGTTAGCCAAAGCTAGAGAAAATTGAAGCACAATCAAATGAGTGGGAGAAGGTGTTATAGTGCACTTACTTTTAAAGTTATTTTCACTTGCAACCAACGTTTTCAAGGTGCATCCAGACGAGCGCCTAAGGCGAGGCAATTTTGTCTAGGTGCGCCTTGAGTGGTGCCAAGGCGACTACCTTCAATCGGGCGCTCACCTTGGCACGCCCTCACCTCATGGCAAGGCGAGGCAAGCTCTTGGTTGAAGGCGAACACATATATATTTTTTAAAATCATTTTGACTTGATAAAAACCCACCTCATGACGAAAATAAACAAAAGATGAAAGAGAGGAAAGAGAGGAAAAAAGTAGAACCATAGGAGATGAGAAGGGAGACACTAGTAGAAAGTCGGCCTTCAATAAAATTTTGTGATTAACATAATTGATGACAATTATCTAATTGTCATGTATTAAGGCATCAAGAAAGACGAGAAGATGACAAATTTGAAAAATTGTCATCATACAATTATACTTTGTCACGAATAGATTTTCCATCACAATTAATAAATATCACAGAAAGTCATTTAATTACAATTTATAAATTGTCATGAACTAGTATTTAACGACAGTTAAAGATTGTCATGAATTTTTTTAACGATTATTTATAATTGTCATGAAAACTTTTGTAACGATAGTTTTAATAATCAATATTGCCAATTTTAATCTGTCACAAAAAATTGTATAATGATAACTTAAAAATATCATGCAACATTTAATTGTATAATTATTTATAATTGTAACGATTATTTATAATTTTAATCTGTCACAAAATTGTATAATTGTATAATGATAACTTAAGAAATGTTTACAACAACAATTTAATACTATCATGATATACTTAATAATGTCAACATTTAATTGTCAGGAAACGGTTTTGAATGTTTTTTTTTTTCTCACGAAACCTATTTGGTTGACATTTATAAATATAACTTTTCGTATAAACTTGTTTTGAAATGTTTTTAAAAATCGCTTTCCATAGTTGTACGTGTACCTGTCAATTGTGATGTATTTTACATAGAAAAACATATATATCCGTTAATACACCAACCCACCTACAAATATAAAGTGTATACATATAGTAAATTATATATACATAAACGAAGGTTTTTCATGTCCAATCTCGTATATAAACAAAAATTGTACCCAAGTAACTGCTAATCCAACAAAAAATGGCCCAAACGGTCATATTTTAAATATTCCAAGTAGCTATTCGCCATGGTTCTCCAGGTTATTCTTGGAAGACCTAAGCAATAGACAAAAACCTCAAATATTTCACAATAGTATCTGCAAAAGGTCAAACTACAACAAATGTAACTGAAATATTACTATTATATATTGTTAGAGTTCATATCGCGTAAACGTGAAAGGTCAAACTACAAAATGTAGCTAACATATTACAGAAACTCTTGTATCTAAATTCTTATTTTTAAGTCAAGTTTAAGTACAAATAAGCAAAAACATGAACCTTAAATATGAGTACAATTTTTATTTTCTGACACAAAAAGATTCTTAAACCTCTAATAAAAGTTAGGTTATTGAATAGGTTGTCATTTGTTAATTCTTTCTTAATGTTCGCTCCGCAAAAGTGATTTTCTACTTATCATTTAATTTCACAGTACTTTCCAATGAATCCAAATTGGTTCAGAACAGTTGTGAGACGATACAAGTTACTACTTCTAGATTCATTTTAGAGTGCACATAAATTAACAAAGAGGACAGAGACAAAACAACACTCAATCACTACATAAGTCAACATTCAAATAGTTTATGTTTAAGAGGAAGAAAATGGTTTTACCAAGATGTTACTTCTTTTAACGAAAACTATACACCCAGCCATTGGAGCTCTCAAGGCTGCATCAACTCATGCCAAACACCTACAAATCACCTCTCAAAATGTTAACAAAAAAAGGGAAGATAATTTAAAGTTATTTGTCATTAAGGCCATTAATACTATAAGGATGCGATCTTAGTTAAAAATCATAAACAATGGAGAATAAAACAAATCCAATAAAGGCTATTAAGCTCTCCAAGGTATAAAATTAAGTCAAATAACAATTAGGTAATGTTTGCATTAAGCCAGTAACACATAAAAGTAATATTATACCCAGATGTTCACAGCGAAAAATGCTAAAAATAACTTTAAAAAATGGCAATCATGGACATTATTTAACTGCTTGGAATGTAAATTGATATTTAGCACAAATCAATATTATACCCAGATGTTCACAGTGAAAATGCTAAAAATAACTTACAATAACGACAATCATGGTCATTCTTAACTGCTTGGAATGTAAATTGATATTTAGCACAAAGCAATATTATACCCAGTTGTTCACAGTGAAAATGCTAAAAATAACTTACAATAACGACAATCATGGTCATTCTTAACTGCTTGGAATGTAAATTGATATTTAGCACATTGATCCATATTCAAAATTAAAGACATAAAAGAATCATACACTTATAATCAGAGAATATACCTAAAACTAGAAGTACATTTGAACTCTATTCCCAGAAAGTAATAGATTAGATAAGAATCACATTCCACTGTCGTTGTCAATATGATTGAGTACGAAAGTCAATTAAAGATGTTCCAAGAAGATTTCTCACCATCTTCTGTGATGTTTGAGATGACAAAGGTTTATTACTTACTAAAGTACTTAAAAACATATATGTTAAAACATATATGAAAACAAAATGAATTACATAACTCTTTTAATGACCTATTTCATCAATTATATATTCCATGAATAATGACATATATGGTACACAAAAGAAAATAATTAAGCAGTTCAAAGACAAGCTTGCCAAGGACCTCATTAGTGGTTTTTGTAAGCCATTATCTTTTTACATCCAAATAGTTTTCCGATCAAATAGAAGTTGTACTCCTTTCTAACATGATCTATTATTATTTAGACAGAAATATTAATGAGATTCATTCTATTCATTAAATAATCAAAAATAGACAAATAGAAATGAACTATAAAAGAAAGTAAGTTGGAGTTAATAGTTACTAGCAAGCAGCCAAGTTTTTCAAACCAAACAGTTATAATTTAAGGATATTCTATCTAACCTATGGTCATCCTCAAAAGAATGTTTCAATTCGAGAGGAACAAATCTATTAAAAATAGCTTCCTAGCATGAAATTTAAAACTTATTCTATAAGCCAAAAAAATAGATTAGAGGGATTACCAAACTGCAATAATATAAATTATATGTCATCACGATGATGGATACAGAGATGCAAAATCCAACATAGCAACGGGGTTTTCATAGAAGCCTGCATTTCAAGAAATTAAGAAGATTATTCAAATTACGGGATAAAATGTGCTTCCAGAAACATTTTTCCTTTAGTTGAACATGAACACACACTAAGATGTCATAATCAAAATTAAACTCTCACGAGTTTGATTTCATCAGGTATAAGAGTTTAAGAAACCAACTATACAATTGGCAAAACACAAATCAAACATTTCAATTCTAAGGCATGCTTAATTTGATAAGCAAGGCAGGACCTACAATGAACACAAAGATTCGATGCTTAGGCATGAACCTACAACAAAGTAACTACACTCATGCCATGATAGACATACGACATCACTATCACCTATACTACTTAAAAGTTTCAATAAGGTTACAACGTTGAAAACAAAAAGGAAAAAAGACACTGAATGTCAAATAACTTACAGTAGCAATGTTAGAAGTTCCTTGGTCATGTCCTATTTGTTTAGCATTTGGAATAACAACGCTTTTCTATTTTACCTTCTCTAAGAAATTGAGAGGTACCTGAAAAAAAAAGTACTTTTTAAAGTTAACAATTATTTGTATTAAGTCAATATGAGTGACTCAAAATTTGAAAGACAGTGGGATTACCTTGATACTTTGACATCTTGAATGAAGAAATGAAATAGAAACACCAGATACTCTAGCCATCTCAATGCAAATATAAACGAACTCAGTTTATCTAAAAGTCGTTGTTCACCATCATCTGCTAAAAGTCGTTCCTTGCTGCCCCATGGTAACGCCATTGATGGGTGGTAGGGTTTGCTAGTCGTCGCGCAGGAGAGGCTCACGATAGATCTAAGCGTCATAGGTCCACCGACCACTGCCATCTTGCATCACTGTTTGGCTCTTGAGAATGAGTTAAACACCAAACACAAATGTATTTAGTATGTAGGTACAAAGTATGAGAGCGAGAACAACAAAAAAAAAGAACGAAAAAATGGTGCAAAATGGCACCAAACGTAGCAATTGACACAAAATTGTAGAAAAATAGAGTGAAATCATGCTCGGTCCGTGTATTTGGATGATTTCTAGGAGCTTATGGATCGTGCAAACGGGCTACAAATTAAACAAAACTATAGATAATTAATAAGCAAAAACAACAAAATAATGGTGAAAAACGCTACCAAACAGGAGACAACAAGCAATGATTACCATTCAGCCATCATCTTGCATAATATTAATAAACAAAAACCTCTTGCTTGAAAAGAAAACTTGACAACATGAACAAATATTCCAACCCATACCTAAAGCAATACTGGGGCGAACGAGTAGAACAGAAACATAGCCATAGAAAAGCCAGCAAAAGGAAGAGCCTGAAAGAATCATATGGAAAAGAACTGTTATACATTGGAGTATCGAGTTCCATGAGAGATTGACAAAAACTGCAGATTTGTTTAGATTTATTTAGAAATAAAATATAAACAAACCGTAGATTTGATTGTTGTTGGCAGAAATAGAAGGGGTCGTCGTTCGTCCGGTCTTCGTGTGGTGGGTGTTGCCCTGAGATCTGTCGATGCCGCTAGCTGTTCGTAGGTCTCCGAAGAACGCATCATCCGTTGGTCTCCCCTGCTTCTATAGCTGGGTGAGTGAGATCGTGAAAGGCATGAACTACAGGTCGTCGGAGTGGCGCACCGGTGCAAATCGTGAGGAGGGAAAGGACGGTGGCTGGGCGTCGTCAACTGAAAGGGCTTGGAGCAGAGTTAGGGCTTGGAGGTAGATTTGAGAGAGAGCTTGAGTGGAAAAGGTAAGTGAAAGAAAAAAAAAGGGGGGGAAATAAAGTGTAACCTAAAACAAATTGAAAAGCGTAACTTTGAGTAGGCGGCAAAAAAATGCGGTTTCTTTTTTTAATAGCAGTTTTATTAAAATGCTATTAAAGGGGTTATTCGTTGTAGTGAGGGCAGACGATCGATTATGTGAATTTGCGTAGGTAACGGAACTATAAATTATAATTCTTTATGTTACACGAAATCCCACTCTAAAAATGATTTGGGAAAAATAATTAACTTTCAAAACCCAACCATAAAATACAAAAGGAAAAATTAAATTCCCTAAACGTTGGATTAAGATTTAATATAAAAAAAATCTCTTTAAAAAAAATTTAAAACTTAATTCATCTCAATCTAACGAGAGATTGGACTTTAAGTTCTAATTTACCAAAAAATAGATCTCTGAAATTAGAAGATCCAGTAATTTAATTATCCTTAAGGGAAAATCCAAATGCACAATTTAAGTCTTAAAATAAAAATAACTCGAAAACTTGGGACGTTACAGAAATCATCTTTCTCAATATCTTCTTCCCCAACATTAGAAGCCTCGTCTTTCTCAAAAGAGTCGAGAATTGTAATATTTAAAAAAATATATTACCGACGCTATTTTAGAATGGTTGAAATATTAATATATCCCGACTTTTTCAAAAATAGTCGGGAATTGTAATATTTAAAAAATAAAAAACAATAGCGCCCAACAATTTATTAAAATATTGGTGTAAACTCCACTATTCAACTTTTTTTCTAAAAATAGTCGTGAGTGGTAATTTAAAAAAATTAAGACAAATTTTGACCGACTATATAATAAAATAGTTGGGAATAGAAATCTCTCCATTCTATTTCAAAAATCGTCGGGAGTGGTAATATATAAAAACAAAATTTTACCCGATTATTAGGCAAAAGCGTCGGTAAGAGTAACTTCACCCAGTGTCGATAATAAAAGCGTCGAAAATATATTCCTTTCCAGATTATTTTAGTCAATAGTCGGCAGAGTCTCGAATATTATTCTTTAATCGGGAAAAAGATGTTTGTCCAGCATCGAGAATAAAAGTGTTGGAAAAAACTCATAATTCTTGTAGCGTCGGCGATCGATTATATGAATTTGCATCATCTAGGTAATGGATCTTGAACAACGACGCAAGGAAGATAATGAACTTTTGGTTTTTTGAAAAAAACATAAAAAATAGATGAGGAAGAAAGAAGTTCGCAAAATGACATGGTTTGATTTAATTTATTTTAATTGTAATTACCTACGATGAAAAATGATTACTATATTAATATTATACTTGAACATTTCATCAAATCAACTTATTTTGTTAGTGTTTGGTGTACACATGTGTCCATAAGTCTCAGTGGTCTTCAGCGTTCAATTCACACAAGTAACTATATATATTATAAAAAGAAATATCTACTAAGTTTTTATTTTTCATTTTATTGAGTTGTTTCTATTTTATTTCAAAAAGTTACTATTAATATTCTTAAAAATTTAGACAAGAATCTAATAAAAAAACAAATTCTCAAGACTAAGATTTAATTTTGGAAATTTCTATCTAAACTTCAAAATTTTATGTTATAAAAATTTAAAGCTTCATGAACCTAACTAGTTCCAATTTAAAATCAAATTAATTCATAACCATTAGATTAAGTTGATTACCTTTTATTCCAATAAAAAAAATCAGGGTATAATTTAAATGTGAATATTTTATTTATGGAATGCTTGGTGAAACTAGAATTAATTTATATTATTTTTTTTATAAAAAAATATATTAATAGAGGGTTGAAAAAATAATTTAAATTCATAGGGCTCAAACTCGGGACCGAAGAGAGGAAGAGCACAATTACGCTTACTGCCTTCCGTCTGCTCCTCCTTTCCGCTGACGTTGGCTCACGTTGCCACACAATCTAACGACAACGAAACTTTCTTCTCTCCTAAGCTTCAGAACCCCCGCTATGGTTCCGACTTGAACTTACCTTGAGAGCTTCCTTCCCGGGCTCTAGGCTCCACAACGTTCACTCTTCCATCTTCAGCTGGTCTATTCTACACTCTCCCAACAGCATTCGTCCGTCTGAACATTGGGATGGGACAGTAACGAGCAAAATGCCTCGCTCCTCCACATTCATAACAGTTATCGGATCTCCTCTGCTGAGCCTTTTCTTATCTCCTTTGCAGGGAGCGAGGCCTTCTGCAGGCCTCGCGCTCCAAACTCATACTACTATAACAAATATCATCTTCTACTCGTTTCATGGAGTATTTGGGGAAACTATTAAGCATAAATCTATACTTGATGCGACCGGACAATCCCGAAATAATTAATAATGTTAACAAAGCTGCAGTTTTTTCCGACAGAAATGAAACGCGCTCAAAATCATTTGTTTTTGTATGTCATACATTATCAAGATGATCTAGGTAATTGTCATGGAATACTTGAAATTTTTTTATTTTCTTTGACAATTATAAAATGTCATAAAAGCCTTGCCGTTTTTTCCCGCAAAAATCGCGCCTCCACCATTCGTGACAGTTTTCCACTGTCATTGAAATTTCGATTTTTGCATCAGTTTTTAACTGTCATAAAACTTACAAAATCCGAAAAATAGCATTTTTTTCCCGAAAAAACGCGCCCCATCATTTATGACAGTTTTTTTTCATCCAAACATTTTTACTGTTCACAACTGTCATAGAAGACCAAAATAGAATAAACATCAAGGTTTTAGAGAACAATACGACGTTATAATAAATGGAAACAGTCACCTGAAATTTAATAAGAAAAATGAAGTCCCATATACATAGTCACCTCCTCAACAGAAAATAGAGTCAAGCCATTAGTAGTAGTAGAAGCAAATTTACATTTACATGTTAGCCAAAGCTAGAGAAAACTGAAGCACAATCAAATGAGAGGCAGAAGGTGTTATAGTGCACTTACTTCTAAAGTTATTTTCACTTGCAACCAACGTTTTCGAGGCGCACCCAGACGAGTGCCTAAGGCGAGGCGATTTCGTCTTGGTGCGCCTTGAGTGCTGCCAAGGCGACCATCTTCGATCGGGCGCTCACCTTGGCACACCCTCGCCTCATGGCAAGGCAAGGCGAGCGCCTGGTTGAAGGCGGACGCATATATTTTTTTAAAATCATTTTGACTGGATAAAAACCCACCTCATAATGAAAATGAAGAAAAGATGAAGAGAGGAAAAAAGTAGAACCATAGGAGATGAGAAGGGAGAGATGATATAATTGGAGGAGAAGAAAAAACGAAGCAGAACATGTTGAAGAAGAAAAGTCTGAGAAGAAGAAAAGCCTTTTCAAAAAACGAAAAGTGTGAAAACAGCTCACTTTTCTATGTGCTTGCATGATAAGCTAGTGTCACCTGTTTCCCATGGCCATGAATACAGTTGTTTACTATCAATACAGCTGTTTGCAATAAATACAACTATTTCTATTTAATTCTTTTGTACAAAGAATTATTTTTTACAATTTATTTAAAATACAATTTTCTCATTACTTCTTTCTTCTTTATTCCCAATATTTATATTTTTCTCAATTATTTAAGTTAATTTTTATTTAAAATATTATTATTATTTTAATTTTCACATTTTAAATTTGAATATTTATTTATTTTAAATATAAATTATTTATAAATATTATTTATTTAATATTTTATTTAGTGCGTCTCGTTTCACTCAAGCGTCGCCTTTTTGTCGCCTCTCGCCTTAAGGCGATGGAAGGACTTGTCGTCTTGAGGTATGCCTTGCGCCTTGAAAACACTGCTTGCAACCTAACTTTAGGATCAAAGATCTCATAATTTGAAGCACGATTCAATAGAAAATCTAGTTTTTATACATCGTGCACAATATTTTTAGAGAGTAAAACTAATCAAAGGTGAGAAAAATAATAACAAATATTCCAATGAAATTTACATACCTAAGATTTAGAGCTTAAATAGACTTAAGAGCCATTGACATACATTGAAAGCACCAACCAAAAACACATATTCAGAAAAAATAAATATTAAGATGGTGATGGCGGTGGTGGTGGTTGCAATTACGGTAATTAGTAAGAAATAGCATTAAGGATATAATATACAATTAAAAGAACACTCATGCACATATGAAAGATTAGCACATATTGTTTAATTTAATAAAAATAAAGCTTATCACCAAACTGTACATCATTAACAGATTAGCTAAACTAAGAAAACAGATACCACAATGCCAAAGCTTAGTAATCCAATCAATAAGGGAAATGAATCCATATGATAGCTTCATGCATTTGAGTTATTAAATGTGGGATCATGACACTATTTGTATGATGAATGAATATATAAATTACAATAGTTTCACTATGTCTCTTATACTAAGAAGCACGGGACACGGACACCACACGATACGAACACGACGATATGCCAATTTCTAAAACTATAAGACATACAAATATTAAATAAATTATACTAAAAACTAAAACAAGTTTTAAATAATGTGATTCATTAGTCTAAAATTAAAAGATTTATATATTTATTTTAAAGAGAAAAGTTGCCTTCTATCAATCATGGAGGATTGAAAGGTTTGACATTTGTCAATTATCATTAATGCTTCTTTAATGTTAACATCTCTCCATCTTCTCTCCTCTTCTTCCCATTCTTCTCTTTTTCTATTTTCTCTCGAGTCCTCGACTCTATTCGTACTCTATTTTTCTATTTTCTACCATCACTTTTCTTCTCTTTTTTTTACTTCTTCTCCTCCATCCGGGTGGCAAGTTGTTGCCGGTATCCATGGAAAAACACCGATGGTGGGTACGGCACTCTCTCGGATGGACAAGGCTTTTTCCTAGGCTTGAAATCAACAACCTTGTCCGCGTCGAGTCTTATTCGTATCCCAGCCATGTCCGAAAATAAAAAAAATAATAAAAAATCAGACACTTCAATTGGCGTGTCGGACACGTGTCCAGAGCGTGTCCGAGTGTATCCATGTCCGACACGTGTCTGACATGGACACTCCAAAT